CCTAGCGGCACATCCAGTACAACTGAAAGTACCCAGCAATGCGACGGGCATGACAGTCGAGAGGACATTTTATCACTTCTTATCACAACTGCTAAGCAATTAGTCGTAGTGCCTCCATTAGCTCGTCCCTGTTGTTTATTTCGGGGGATAAGCGCTTGATAGCGAGCGCCTCGAGCAGTTTCCTTTCTAATGGCATTCCTTCGTGCGGTTTAAGACAGCAACATTCAAGCGAGGAGGTGCTTCGTGTTGGTGAAGGTCGTGCCGATGCCGTGAAATCCACTTGCTGGGAATTCAGGACGAGGGATTCCGCAACGCTCGTAGGTGTTCGTCCATCCTTTTATACAAAGGTCGTCCTGTCTCACCAACATACTTCTGATTACATCCTTCGCATGTGACCAAATAAACTACTCCTCGTAACTGACAGATTTTACTCTCTGTACAGTACGCACAGTTATTTCGGCCACATTTCTCTTCATATATCCGGGATGATGTCAATATGCTTCTTAGATTTGCGGGCGGTCGGAATATAAGCTTGATCGGAAGATGCGCCGACTTGATGGCGTAATTCACTTTCTTTGCTATTCTCTCGTTCACATACGGTAACACCAGTGGTATTCCTCCAGTAGCAAAGTAAGGTCGCCATGTTCTTGGTTGTGTTACCGTATGTGAACGAGAGAATAGCAAAGAAAGTGAATTACGCCATCAAGTCGGCGCATCTTCCGATCAAGCTTATATTCCGACCGCCCGCAAATCTAAGAAGCATATTGACATCATCCCGGATATATGAAGAGAAATGTGGCCGAAATAACTGTGCGTACTGTACAGAGAGTAAAATCTGTCAGTTACGAGGAGTAGTTTATTTGGTCACATGCGAAGGATGTAATCAGAAGGGATGTAATCAGGAAAGTATGTTGGTGAGACAGGACGACCTTTGTATAAAAGGATGGAAGAACACCTACGAGCGTTGCGGAATCCCTCGTCCTATCCCAGCAGTGGATTCTCACGGTCGTCGCACGACGCCCTTCCACCAACATGAAGCACCTCCTCGCTTAAAAGTTGCTGTCTTAAACCGCACGAAGGAATGTCCATTAGAAAGGAAACTGCTCGAGGCGCTCGCTATCAAGCGCTTATCCCCCGAAATAAACAACAGGGACGAGCTAATGGAGGCACTACGACTAATTGCTTAGCAGTTGTGATAAGAAGTGATAAGAATGTCCTCTCGACTGTCATGCCCGTCGCATTGCTGGGTACTTTCAGTTGTATTGGATGTGCCGCTAGGGTAGGTCGTTTGCGTGTAGTAGTGTGGTAGACAGTTATAGGCCTTTAGTAAAATTGTACTATTGCAGACCTGAGCAACTTTATTGTTAAGAAGGGAGTCTGGTTAGTACTCTGGACAACTTAATTGTTGTAAGGTTTATAATATTGTATGCTCGTTTTATTGTAGGTCTGAAGAAGCTGCTACGCAGCGAAAGCTCACCAATAAATAGTTATATTGAGTTCTCATTAACCATTGTTGAAAGAAATGAAGGAGAAACAAAGGATCTTGGTGTTGAAAACGTTTTAGGTCATTGGCTCAGAGACATCCGCGCCATTTCTTTCTATCACACCATAAAAATATATCGCCAGCTGAAAAGTTCCAAGCATGGGCACTATGGGAATCGCTCTACTGACTAATATTTCGCTGATCATTCACGTAACAATGCACTTCCTATCGGTGGATGGCATCTCGTTCGCAGTTCTGTCTTCCCTCGAAGTTCTCACCTCCGCAGCTCCACAGCTTGCTCTCCCGATCACAGTGCTAGTGTTCTCGGAGGATGCTCGAAACGCCACATCGCGTATCTGCTGGTCGACTGTAAAATGCAGCTTGACAAAAATATCAGGCAGCCCTACTACAGGTTCAGTGGCATTCACCAAAACTCTCGCACTCCCAGTGATTCTGCAAAGCGTGACTGTTCTCAAAGACACTTCCAATATCCCTGTTAAACCAGCAAAGTGATCAAATAAGACGATCAAGGGTATCAAATAACACCCTTCTCTGTTTTCTTTGAGTCAGTGAGAGTTTGTGTATTTGTCAAGGAAAGATGATAAATGTTGCTGCTTTCAACGCCGATTTCTTTGTTGACTCTAATAACCAGGTACCATGAACTACAAATCTTTTCAATTTTAAAAAACGTGGAACGACACTTCCGAATTTGGAACTCTCCGTGAACAACTACTGGTCTGAACTGCGATTCTGTTCTACGCGGGTTTTGATTCGCAGATATAGGTACAAGTTCATGGAAATTAGAATCTTTTGTAAATCTATCCTGAATGTGTACTTGATAAAGCATTCATCACTGAACACTGGACATCAATCGTTGAGCAACCAAGCAACATTTTTGTTCGAAAACGCTCAAAAGTTACCAACTTGCAAGGGGATTTCAGAGTTCCCACAACAAATCCTTCTTCCCGTGCTCTTCCCCATGCCCAGTTCGGGTGCACCTCCTTCTGTTTATCTACCTGCCCACTTTTTACTCGAGCCCGTTTTCCCGCTGCCCGGGCAGTTCCGGGTCCGAATTTTGAAGATTTGCGTTCGGCCCCGGCCGTCCGAACGCTCCCATTGTGGGTGTAGTCTAACGTGGTGCATAGAGAATGATTTTGTCCCCGGTCCCTGTGATCTTCCGGAGGAATTTTACGAATTTTTGTCGTTGGCACTACTCACTTCGGTGCACGGGGCGTGGGTCACGAGGCTTAAAGACAATTATCGCGATCAAGTATTGCGGGCAATTGTACTCTGTCATGCACCAGTATTCCATAGTTAGCTTCTCAGTAGAAAAAGAAGCAGAAAAATCTTCGGGAACACCTTGAACCCAAACCTACCTTTAGCAGTGGGGGCGGGGCCTGGACGAGTGTGCCGGGCGTGGCTGCCAGAATTCGATGCGGCAGCCGCAATTGCGTCCCAACTTTCGAAATAGGATACTTTCGAACGTAAGGCAGCGTTCATACTTGTAGCGCTACAGCGTCGCGCTACAGCGTCGCGCTACAGCGTAGCGCTACAGCGCCGCTTCGCAACGTACTGCAATTTCCAACGATGGGATGATTAGAGTTGCTTACAGAGAAAATTGGAAGGAAGGTTGCTGGAGTTTTCTTGAGAAATTGACAAGAAAAAAAAGAAAAAGAAAGAAAATGACAACAAACCCCACTTGACAACAAATCTCCCTACCATTGGAAAAGCAAGCACTACATTCCATAAGCAAAAAAAACTCTCTAATCTAATCACACATGTTTACAAGCCTGACGAAGTAAGACTTTAGCTGAGCTAATGAGCCAACTCTTTGGCCAAATGCCAGTGGGTGCGGGCTTAAAGGGACGCGCGGGCTTTAAAGGGACGGATGCAGTTCGGGACCAGACGCCTCGTCCACCTACCGTCTCCGTGAGCCTAGCGAGCCTTGTCGAAATTGCGATAACTTCCTCATCGCGCGCCATTGATGGATAAAAGCGGGATCATCTTCATCAAGGCGCAGAGGGTTCCAGAAGGCGCGAAGTCATTTTGAAGGCCTCTCGAGCGCGGATACTGTCTTTAACTTGTTGGTGTGTATTCGATATATTTTTTCAACATCCCTTACCCTCATCCCAAAGTTGACGGCGTTTAAGTGTTTTGTTGACAACGTTTTCAAGAGATTGACGTTTTCAAGAGAGTCCGTGACACCGCTCAGCTAAATATAGGCCCGCTGTGGGCAGAGCCTATTTCCTATTGGTCCGTCTGCGAACAACACAGACAATTCTGCCGTTATATATAGAGTGCCAGTCGCGATCGGGCCGGCTTCGCTCGGTAAGTGGGTTCCGGTGAGACTTGTTCCATGAGTGGGAGAGCCAGTCGGATCGGCCGGCTTTGCCGAGCGAATGGTCGAGAAAAAATATTGTTTTGAGAATTAGCGCACTTTACCGTTTCACTTCTTGTATATACCCTCCTCCCTTAGAGGACAGTCTCAAAATCTTCTATGCGGCACTCCCTCAGTGATGAGGAATCGCAGAATCAAGTATTGCCGACGGTACCAACCATTTGGGCACTATCTAGGTTATACCTCACTAACTTCATCTGCCGAACCATTCAGTCAGTTTCACCTTACTCCCCATTTTGTGGGGTTCGTATGCGTTTTGAGGATTTTTGCCCTCGGCACCGTTCACTTCGGCGAACGCCCCGCCCGTCAGGGGTGTCCTTCACTGGTTTCCGTCCGCCAGCTGATTAGCCTATCATTTGCCACTTCTCCCACTCTCCGAGCTCTTTTGAAACCGAACTACGAATTTTTGAAATTTTCGTAGCAACCACCGCCCACCTATAGAACGCCGAGCCCATGATGGGTCTGTATTGTTTCGTCATCAACAGGATATGGCCCTATCATTTGCCACATTTTAAACTGTGCTCCGGCTGAATCGGAAGCCGAGTACGAATTGTGAATGTTTTTGTGGCAAAGCACCGCACACCTATGGAACGCCCCGCCCTAAATGGGTGTCTCTCACCATTTCGACCGCCAACCGATTGCCTATCGTTTGCCACTTTTTCCGCTCTTGGGGCTCTTTTGGAACCAAACTACGAATTTTTGAAATTTGTAGCTCACAACTGTGCACGCATCGCCCACGGTGTGCGGAGCCTAGCTTAGTTTATGTGTGTTCCGTACATCTTGGCCCATGCCCTACCCAACCCACCCTTGACCCCCCCAACTGGCTTTCAGCGTGATTTCCGGACAGACAGACAGACAGACAGACAGACAGACAGACAGACAGACAGACAGACAGACAGACAGACAGACGTTGCCGTTTATATATAGTAGGATGATAGAGTATGATATTCAATATATGGTGCACCCTACAACTCAATCAAGTACGCAGTTGGATTAATTCGAAGGTTGGTGAGACTCCCCCCCCCAATGGATCGTATTTTACCATTGGGATGGTGGGTCGTAATAGGAGGGGCAGCCTTCACGAAGCAGCGCAAAGTTGTCAGCAGCGTGAAAAATAACCCAAAATGATTAATCATCACTATAACTTAGCTGACATAAGTTCGCGAGTACGTGGACGGCTGAACAATACAAAGAAAGCAAGTCCATAGGTAATTCAATGTTCCGAACCGTGTGAACACATCTGCTTGGGACAGACATTAGGTAGAAGTTGCGTCATCCACTAGCCTCCACGTGAGGAGCTAATGCATGGGCATCTAGAGTATTGAGAAATGGACGCTAAACAATTCATTGCCTAGTTCTGTTCTGCGACGTGATCCGTTCTAGATGCACAACTGGGTGTTCACGTAGGCTCACTTGAAATGGTGGATAGAAAGCGGGTTTTTCGCGCTTCTCGTTATTTTGAAATCCCAATTGAAATATCCCTAACGCATTTATCTGCAGAGGCCCGGAAAACTTCAGTGTGAGATATCAAGCGATCCTTGGAAAAAGAGGAGTTTTCTTTTTTTTCAAGGCTGTTCGTACGCTTGCGGACAGTTACGTTGGATGACATTTTCGCTGAAACCAAAAAAAAAACTCATATTTTGTCTCAAAAATCTCGACGGAAAACCCAGAAGTCGAGCTCTAAACAAATACCACTGTAAACATTCTAGTCTTTTCGAAGGAGCGCAAATCTAACAAAAGCGGTTTCCTTGAATCCGAAGGTTACCCTTAGGTATTATAAGCTCATGAAAAGCTGCTTTCTCAAGGGGTTTTGGCAAATGTGCTTTAACGATTTGCTGGAGTCTTCCTGTGTTCCTGGGAGGTGTTCCGAGTTTTATTCCCACCCTATTCCATCTATTGTATGGTGTTCAGTGCTGGAAGGTGCTAAGAAGCCAGGGGAAGTCCTTGACCTTAACACTAGTTTTTTCATGTATGTTCAAGAAAAAAAGTCGTAGGGATGGAAAGCCGTACCGAGCCTCTTTCTAGGGCAGGGGGCGTACGGATTTGACCAAAATCCCCAACACATGATGTGCCCTGTTTCGCACCCACGTCATGGATCGGACACTACATATAATGCTACCACATGCTCCGGTCTCTGCAAGATAGAAGTACAGGCTTAACAGAAAACAGTGCAATTCTCCTTAGGACAGGAAACAGGGCTTGCTGAAGTCTTCAGATCCGGAACTGTAAGGTCAAATAGAGATTTTGTGAAAAAGATTGATGAATATTACATGGATATGGCGAGCTCTAGCAAAAAGGGCAGATTGTGTATTCCCTAATTGATTTTACTGGGAATCTTTGTTCTCATTCTATTCTAAAAATAAGCAAAGACTTCGCACACAACGCAGTACGTCACGTTTATTGGGGAACGAACAGTCACAGTCCAGCAGGCGGTGGTCTGAACTTATAAGGCTTTATTTCAGCTGCGTTGTATAATAACTTTTTCCATTCCACTGTTAAGTAGCTGACGCAGAGACGCATTTTTTCAAAGCGGCAACAAGTTGCAGGTCTGAGTAAGTGCTTGATCAAGCTGAACTTCATGAGCCAAGACAAAACGTAGCCGCTACTGCTTTCATAATAAACTCACGAAGTCTCCATATGAACTTCTGTTATAAGAAGGAACATCGCATATACCCCAAGTTGTTGTTTTTCTTGGAGTGGTGCAAGCATAGAAGAACGGTAAAGCAGTTGAAGTAAATCAATCCTTACATGTCCCCTTGTGTCTCTTAGTTTTCTCGTTTCAGTTGCACTACTTATCCTCGCCCTACAGCCCTTCCTTCCCCTCCTGCCACCCTTCCCACGGCAACTATTCGCAGAAAAGTGGGTGACGGTGAGGAAAAAAAATCACGAAAAAGTGGTTGGAAGAGATTCGTAGGACAGGGGTTAGGAAAGGGTGCGCGGGAGGGGTATAGTACGAGAGCGGGGGGGGTCGTATTTTGCTAAACTTCCCTTAAGGGCAGGACGCTCCCGAAGTCCAAGATCGAGAGCAGATTAACAGGAATTACATCGTTTCCGCTGAATACCCTCCTCGTTAGGCAATCGTTGTAAGAAAACGATGTCGTCACCAAAGGGAAAGTAGTTGGCTGTCGTTGACAGTACCACCTCTTGAATAACATATCTTAGCGCATCTACACCTTTCATGGAAATGTTTGGAAATGAAAAGCCTGTAATTAATTTACACAGCTTCTTAACCTCTATGCTGCGAGCTCATCATTCTTGCATAATTTTCACGCGCCTCCTTCTTGAGCGCAGTTCTTTCGCATTTAGCCGTCATCTCCTTAGACTCCGTCTCGTAATGACGCCTATTCGTGTGTTTGAAATATCTTTTCAGAGAAACTGTTACGCTATATGCACCGTGTATCAGTGAACAATCTTTTCCAGTGGCCTACGGTTGGCCTATTAGAGCATTGGCCACTGGCGAACAAATCTATGATTACCTTACATATTCCTCTTCCTTATCTTGATTCTCATCCTTTAGAAAACGGTCCACGAGGGCCTACGAAAATGCAAAAGATTGCAGCAGGGTAGTGTGGTCCGCAATAGACAATCTTATGCCAGCTTCGCGGTAGGAGGTTGTAAGTTGAAGGAGCTACAGTAGTAATATTAGGTTGTCCGGAAAGTTCTCAGCGTTTTGGGTGTTTCACTTTAAACGATCGTAACTTTTTAATACTCATCGGATTTAATCGAAATAGGCACCATTCGAATCAGCACACTTTTTTGGAGCATAGTGAAAGCAATCAAGAAATTTCACCAAGTAAAAACTGGATGGTCGCGAAATTTCGAACGTGTGAATCCACTAAGGCTTTTTTGCCTGGTCCTGATTGAAGTATTTTCCAGCAAGGGAGTTCTGAAAATGTTAGAAAAGGTGATAGTCGGTTGGCGAAAGGTCTGAAGAATATGGCGGTTGAGGTAGAACTTCAACCCCCAATTCGTTCAATTTATGGATAGTGATTTGCGAAACGCGTGTGGGCGGGTTGTCATGCAAAGGAATCGGACCCTTTCTTTTGATAAGTGTTGGCTGCATCTGACAAAATTTTCGGTATAATTCATCGATTTCTTCACAGTAGGGTTCTGCTGTGATGGTTTTGGCCTGGTAATAAAAAGTTATAGTGGATCACACCAGCCGATGACCTCACCAAGCCGTGACCAGAATCTTTTTTCGTGAGGGTTCGGCTTTGAAAATTACCATCGTCGGTTCGTCAAAATCCAACCACGTCCGGTCCGGAAGTCTCCTGTCTTATCAATACCATCGCCCATTTTTCTATCACAGCGTGACAATCGCCCCACAAAACCAGGTCGTTTCTGCCCTGCCCCAAACACGCCACCCATGCAGACAAATCCCACCCCGAGACGTGGCCGCTTCCTGCCCGCCACTTCCGATTGTGGGGCCTCGAGTTTTTTTGCTCCAATGTCCGCTTCCAGACCATCTGCAACAGTGGATTTGCCAACGCCTAGCTCTTCTGCTATCTCTCGAACTGTTTGGGATGGGTCAGCCTCCAAAATCCCCCTAAAATCCTCGTCAGATATTGCTTTAGGTCGAGCCGAGCTATGAGGCTTCATCTTCACCAGCTGGAATGCTCAGAAGAAATTTGTGCAGCATCGCCGCACAGTGCCTTTCTCCCCCAGCACTCATTGGGCCCCGACACCCTGGCTTACCTTTGTTGAGCTGTTTCGATTGCGGATTGCCCCAATTTATAGTCGAAGAAAAAATCGTCCGAAGTGCTCTTTTCACATGCTTGAAAAAATCTTGAAAAAAGGGGGTTTATCAAGCAATGGTGAAACGGCAATTATACCATCAGATAGCGCAAGAAATTCTCTACAGGATGTGCTACTGAGAAGCAAGGCAGAATGAGTTTTTAATCAGCAGTGAATGTACAAAAAATAGGTGCACAAAACGCTGAGAACTTTCCGGACAACTAAATAAATGGATGGCCTATGTCTCTTTGTGTGGTCATAGGTTCGCATTGCAAGGAATCAGTCAATGAAGCCCTCTCTTCCTGCCCGTACCTTTAATTAAGGCTAGAGGGGTCCTACTGAAGGCGTTTACTACCATTTGACATGTTTACCTCACACAAGAATCACTTGACAAATTCTACCGAACCGTGCGTTCGAGTCAAAAGTGCCACCGCTTGCAGTTCCATGGGAACGGTTCCTGCACTCCCACATTCAGTTTTTTGTTGTTCTCACCAACCAATGCTACAAGTTGTATTCACTCTAATGTTACGGGCAAAACAACCAGACCCTAGGCTTTGAGGCAGCGACCCATGGCCAGCATTCTGTGTAGTGGTGCTCAAATAGCGCTGTCAAAATGCCAAAAAAGTCAATGGTGGAAAAAGGGCAATATGGTCCAGACGTCATTGTAAGACCCTCACTGAAGGGGGTTTTTACGGGGGAGGGGGGCAATCGGAACAAGTCTTTTGAAGCGCGTCTCCATTCAGCAAAGTTTTCGCAGCGCCCAGACAGAGGACGTGTGATAAAGTAGGGCAGGGTGGAAGATACCCAAGATGTTCTTCGAGAACCAGGAGCTGGCTCTCGCCCATCACCTTCATGTACACCAAAATATGAAGTCATCTCCAGTCGCAGCCTGAGGAGAAGACTTGGACTTCATGTCACCTCCACAGTTGCGAAACTTCTGGTATGGAGTCACCCATCGATAGTACCTGGAGACCAGTACTCTCGATCTGGAAGACCTCCAACATCGAACAGCTCCGACAACGTCGCTACGGTCTAGGACATCATCTTCACCAGTCGCCAAGGCACGGGTTGATGGTATGGGTCGGAACGTACTGGCATGGAAAGACTACATTTTCTTCGTGGACTCCGGACTGAAGGTGAGCGCTGGCGGTTACCTCGAGCAACTCGAGGAGAATATCCAAGCTCCCCCCCCCCCCAACATGTCGTCGCCCGTACCTTCTTGGAAACTTTTTACTGCTACACCATTGGGTGGCACTACATGGAATCGGAGGGCGTTGGGGAAAACTCTCGCCTTGTTGGAATGGAAGCGGAGTACTCCAAGGAGATGGGATATCCAAGGTAGGTCATTCTGACCTAACCCCTGCAATGCATTGCGTTCGGGCGGAGTTCAACAGGGTGGTCTACGGTGGCGGAGAAATCGACTATCTCGCTGATCTCAGGCACCACATCGCGGTCGCGTGCCAGAATCTCTCGATGGCGCTCGTCCGAAGGCTGTGGTCTGTTGTCCACGAATATTGCTCATACGCTCTTAAATGATGGTGGTGAAATGTTCCAGATCAGAAGTTCGTATTTGCTTATAGCGGCTCGAAGTCAAGGAAGAAAAGTGACTTTTTTTACAGCCCCCACACTGCATATGAGGAGAGGGAGAGCAAAGGTTGCGATCTGACGAGATCCCTGAGGCGATTGGTATTGTGGTCGTTGGAGTCAACACAAATGGTCACACTGGAGTTTCTTCTTGCCAATAATATTCGTGTCGATGTTCTTTGGCTGCTTCTGTTATTGTAGGTGAGTAAAGTGGGCGGGGTCAATGAAAATGGGTCGGGCCAATGAGAGGAACGACGGCCTCTTCTCTCGCTTTTGCACCGCGAAAATGTTGCAGTCGCTGCATTTGTGGACCTGTTAAGCTGCTCACGGAGAGAGCAAGAAATCTCAGCCGATCGCGATCATTTCCTTCGAAATTAGCTTATCAGCTGTCACAAGTACAAGACGTAGGCAATAAATTGCAAGGCTGAAAAGTAGCTTTTCTGCACCAACCAGAAACGCTTCACCTTCCTTGTTCATTGTTGCCATGAATTTCTAGTCTCGGCTCCTCACGTTCATAGACTGCTGTCCATTGTTTCCATAAATAAGGCTTTGGTAGCCTGCACCTCTCAGCCTTGAGGCATCAAGAACTTCCTATAGATGTCTTGTTAACGGAATAATTACAGCTACACCTCATATCCCAAAGATGGAGTAGGCAGGGCTGCGTAGTCCTAGAACACCAACGTTATCCTGAAGGAGCAGCCGTCGTCACATCCGCGATCACTCCATCTTCCGCCCTGGATATGGAGTGTAGTTATACTCAAAGGCAGTGGGCACGATGGCTGGAAGTGGGCGGTTACTGCCAGAATCATGGGTGGAAGGGCTGCGAGAGGGCGTTTGCCACATATCCTTGAGCCCTTCCACGATGACTAGGAGTTGGCAGCAACCGCTCCCCCCCCCCTAGTCATCGTGCCCACTGCCTCCGAAGTGATAGGTCATCTCTCCACCTCAGAGTACGCAGTGATTCAATCTTATGGAATCTTGTGGATTTTAGTGAAGCTCGTCAGTTTTTGTAACCCTTTAGAAATCGCTGTGACCTTTAAGAACAAACATTTTGAAGTCCGACATTCTACCGAATCATCACTACATCTATGTCACTTCAGTGCTATCGTGTGGACAATGAGTGTCTCAATAAATTCTCCTACCAACATTCGAAAAAGATCTCGAGAATGGGATGACACAACAATTCTTTCAGATTTTGACGCTCTTGGCAAGAAAGTTACAATCATGTTTATCGACCCGCTCGATTCAGCACTAGTGGACAGTTCTGAACCAGCAATCAAGGACCTCCCCGGTAGCGAAGGTGAGCCTTAACTGTCAAATATCTAAACAGTAAAAACTGTGGAAGAATAATTCGGAGCAGTTCGGCACCGGGGGGGGGACACTTTGCACTCTTTCTACTTCCTATCGAGTGTCAGTCCATCTACACAGCTAATTCATAATCATGGTGGCCCGACGAACTTCAGCTTTCCTAAGAGTTCACAAGTTTCACCAGGGTGAGACTTCTAAACCGGAAATAGTGAAGCAGCAAAGTGCAGAATGCCCCTCCATCGCCGAACTGCGCCACTAATACTTTCAGCACCATTTCTTTATTCTGCAGTCAGGAGTGGATTTCTGAAATCCTAGTAGCCAGGCCGCTAGGACACTATCCAGTTTTCTCGGCATGGATCCTGGTAATAGAGCACATTTGTAGATGATCACTATGCGCGCATCATAAAACAATGGATCTTGTCAGAGTATGCATTGAGTACAACTTGGCATCAAGGGATACTGTATCGTGTGTGCGATATAGCAGTTAAGTATTCCCCTCCTCCACCAATTCCTCCTCTAATACCACACTCCCTTTCTATACCTTGCCCACCATCTAACTGAATTCCTGAACTTCCTACCACTTTTCCCAGAAACTTTTCCATTATTTCCCTAAATTGCTGTTGAGAGAGGAGTTCGCCACCCTCACCAGGATCAGCTATCAGAAATAGTATTTCAGTACTACTTTTACAACAGCTCCAATCTAGGGAGAATAAATATGACCTCCCCCTCCTCCTCATTGACCAAGCACTACTCCCCAATCTGATGGGACTCTCCCCACGATGTTGCTCCCTGGTTTGGCAGTGATCCCCGTTCCTAGTCTTGGAAGGCAATTTCTGCTTTATTAACCCTGGCACTATTCTCGCGCACGGGCGACCATGTTGCCAGCTTTCCTCGTCTTGAGCTGCCAGAAACTGCTTCATACCTGGTGTTAGGCTCTCAGGAGAACATTAGCGCTGTGGACCTATCAAAGTGCTCTGGGATTTCAGAAGGAATTATAAACTGCTTCGGATATTCAAGAGACCTACTAGCAACATGCTAGTGCGCCATTTACCTGTCGCTGTGATTTATTTAATGGTATTAAGCTTTTAACAGAGTTTTCAGGGGTGCAACCATCTATGCCATCACACACGCCTTCCTTCTGGGTGTGGTTTTCCTTCAGCATATTCTGCAATGCGCTATGTTTTGGGCTGAATGCTATATTCAGCACCGTCAGTGTTATTGAACGACATAGAGCTTTCAAGGTGAGCTTCACTGCTCTGCTAATCCTTTGAACAACCATGAGGCGTCGTTCATACTTTGCGGCAGCGTCCATGCGACTGTCAGCGTCCGCCAGCCCCAGGGATCAGGAAGGTAAGGATATCAATCGAGCAAACGGCACTATTCACCTGCGTCTGCCAGCGACCATCAGCGTCTCGAGGGGTAGAAAAGTGTGGGTTTCGACCCAGCCTCTACCAGCGTTCAGGAGTACGGTATTGTGTAGTAGCACGGTGCGGTTGAAAAGACCACCATTTCAGGGTGTCTACCTGTCTGTTCTCTACCCTACATCTCCATACTGTAGCAGCAGTCTGCTCTCCATACTTTCCTAGCCCCTCGAGACTCTGCCGCTCGCTAGATCGACAACTTTACTTTCCTGGTCGCTGACGCCGACGGACGCCCGAAGCGCTGGTGTTCGCTGGTGGACGCTGCCGCAAAGTAAGAACGCAGCCTACAACACTTCCGTAAAGAAAAAAATTGGCGATTGCGAGAAATTCAGAACTCCTTCTATACGATTGTCCTTGTGTTCTCGATAAGTGTGGTAGTGAGCAGCAGTTGCGAGCTTATCTACACACTTGTGGCCGGACTCGCTGGTGTCAAATCTGAAGGATTCAGCGCCTTCTCAGTTATGGTGGATCTGTCCATTTCATATTTCTCGGCACTACTCATATTCTTCATTGGTTTAAATCGCTTTGCTGCCTTCTCTTTACCACATATCTATAATTGTATAGTGAAAAGGTGAATTTGACAGTTCCTCCGGTTTTATCTTTCTCCAGAATCGCATGTTTAGAAGGAATCTTTGTTGTATCCTCTTTGGGCTGATGCTGTTCTCCGTAGCGACCGCGACTGTCATGCACATCATCGGAGGACTGCAAAGAACATTCACCAAGCACAAAATGGTTGATTACGCCACTAGCCCTCTCGTGGTCCAGGCAAGCTAAACAGAGGCTGCTAGAAATGTCTTGACCGCAGTAGAATCCGATTTCAGGTGTCTAACTACATACTGTACACGCTTCCGCTGATCTCGTCTGTGTTCTACCTCTTCGCATACAAATCACTACGATCTCAAAGAGGCGTTGCAATCAGCGGAACCACAAAATCTCTGCTGAATAAAGCTGAGAGATGCAATCTGAAACAGGGCATATGGATTCTCGTTGTCTACCTTGTATGTTTTCTTGCACTTTAAACTATATGCAAAAGACCATCACGGCGCTGTTTGGCGACGGGGGGGGGCATTTTGTACTATCATTGCTTCCTTAGTTCCGGTTTACAAGTCTCACTCTGGCGAAACCTGTGAACTCTTGTGAAGCTGGAGCAAGGTCATCAAGCCATCATGTTAAACCTGTCAACTCGAGAAGAGGCTGTCTAGGCCCCCGTCGCCAAACTGCGCCGCTCATCACTCCTAGGGTTCGCAATCCCATTCTTTTTTTTTCAAAGATACCTTTCACGCCTATCCGAAATGTGAGATCCCTCCCTTATGAACGATTGCGGCACCTACTGCCGCAGAGACTTCAAGCAGCGTTCATACTTCGCGATAACGCGTGGCACTGTACGTAGCGCTAGACTGGCGCCCCAATGCTTTAGACAGGAAAGCAGCCACATACGACAATCGACTGACTCAGGCCCGCCCAGAAAGTGTAGGATAACAGGATGACAAGCGTTGCTGAAAGGCATAAGATAAGATTATTCGGTACCTGCTCTAAGACCGTAGCTGAGAAGTTATATAGCGGGAAAACGGCGGAAAAGCGGACCTAATAGCCAAAAAAACTTGCGGAGTCCCTGTTCTGCACGGCATTGGACGAGTGTAGTAGTAGATAGTGGCCGCACGTATCTCTTCATATGTCCGTGCAGCAACGCTTCATATCAATTGTACTTCACAAATGAAGCGATACAGTGCCAGCGTCGATGTGACTGTACGGCCATGTGTGGGCGCATGGTTACGGTGGGCGTCTGGATCGGTAGGCTGCATTAGTTAGACGCCATAACGGTACCCTTGGTCATGAAACACACCACGCAGCGCCTGCTAAGGGACACAATACTCTTGCCTGCTAGGCGTATCGACCCTGTACGCTTTGTCGATTTATCGTGCCACTTGCCTTGATCAAGACAGCTTGTACCGCGCCTTCTGAAATCCTCGGTACTCGCTTTCGAACGCTATGGCTCGGTCCCCGATGATGCTCGCTTTAACAGTCTTCGCCCTTGCACACACCGCTGGAGCGTTATTTGCATTGGTGAATCGCAAAATCTGAATGCTGCCTCACCGCTTCTGGTGATTAAGATGAGTAACAAGGGCACCAGGCCCACACCAGCTCTCTCACATCATCATGCCAGCAGCCTGTCCATCCCATCCGAGATGATGGGCATGACCAACTCATAAGTAGGCACCCATTTTCCTGCCTTTCGTTGAGCAGTGTCCGCCGTCTCCTTTTTTCAGTCATTGATCCTGCACGAAGATAAAAGAGCTTCACTAGAGACCCTCTCGGTAGCATTACCTGTTTTTTGGGCAAGTCAGTTATCACATACCGGAACCACGCTCTCTCCAGCCTGTAGCTACGGTATGACTCTCTAAACTGTCAAGCTGTATCACACAGTAATTGTGAGTAAGCAAGCTAAAACCTCAACCTCTATTTCTCCTGATTCCTTGAAATTACAAATACTTCGCTTTCAGATTTCTTTCACCATCCATGTGCTAATGCGGTTGCCAATGTCAGATGCTACTTCGTTAATGGTGATTTCTTCACTGGGAGTTATCTCGTCAGCAGCTCCACAGTTCGCACTTCCACTTTCAGTATTCCTCTGTTCAAAAGAAGCTCGGGATACCACAGTGCATATGTCTCGCCAGAATGTTGAATGTCGAGTTTTTTCGAATACGAAATCATGAGGTTTATTGTATTGCAATGCTGCAACAGCGTTGTTCTGACTTAGGGAGAACCCTTTTTTCTGCCGCTTCGGCTTATAACCAAGTCATTGATGTAGTATAAGAGTTACTCGTTACCATTTGTCACATCACACTATTGTCTTGTCATGGATACATCATGAGACTTCTTAGTAAAAGAACTGCTACTCCAAGAATTGCTGCAGAAAACGACTTCCGGAATCTAATATGAAAAGACACAAGCTAGTTGTTTGTCCCAACTGAAACCAAACAAAGAACTCTGCAATTTTGTGGCCCCACAATCCAGGTTTGCTGCATGTGCACCGCAGAGTCACGTTCTACACGTATCTACTCATGTTACCGCCCTCTTCTACAACTGTTTCGCAGGAAGTATGCCAGTCTAGAATGCAGCCGCAGATCATGGAAATGAGGAATGACTCCATTAAGGCCTGACAGTCCTGCATCATTGTAGCTGTCGGGGCGGCACAGCCGTTTCGGCGCTGGCAATGGCGTAAGCGCGACAGCGCTTGTGCGCCGCGACAGCTTGCGGCTCGGTGACGGCGAATCAGCTGATTTCCATGGAATTCGGCTGCGAATTCCCACTTTTTCAACTCTTCGAGCTTCGAAAGTGGAAGGTGAGTTATTTTTGAACAATTTTAAATTGTACTGACTGAATCCGAGAAGAACGTAAGCTATTTGAATAAGTGCCCCTGAAATAAACTACGAATACATAGGAATAAGGCAAAATAAAACACAAGGAAAAGAGCATAATAATCGACATAAAAATAAAGGAAATCAGAGCCAGTACAATTCAAAATTGTTCAGAATAACTCACCTTCCACTTTAGAAGCTTGAAGAGCTGAAAAAGTGGGAATTTGCAGCCGAATTCCATCGAAATCAGCTGATTCACCGTCACCGAGCCGCAGCCGCTGTCGCGTCACAGTGCAGCGCGGCTGTGCCGCCCCGACAGTCCGTAGGCCTGAGGACTGTAGGCCTATTGGTCGCTTACGTACTCCACGCCTAACCTTCCTTACCGTGTTCCTTGCCAATTTACCACGTTCTGCATGTAGAACATCACACCCGGACCATATTATACACGTGAGAGGCCAGCCTCCGGTTATGTGAGCCGTATTTCTAGGGACTGAACACTTCCAAATACTTTGAGAGTGTACGATTGGTTCTCAACGACCACCTATTAGAGCTACTTCATTACACAACTGAGCGACACGGCAACATGCAAATTTGTGCAGATAATTCAGAACTTTGAACATTTCGAGCGTGGGTAGCTACATATGCCTCCGACTATGCACCTGACAAAACGATAGCATTAACAAATAATCACCAATGTCATGATGTCAATGTTCGCGCTACAGTATCCTGTTTCATGCGACAAGAACAAACTTCTCACTAACCTTAGAACTTCAGCTAAAGGAAGCTACATAAAGAAAAGCAGCAGAATAACGAGAATCGCCGGATAATCTACAAGGAAAAAATTGCGATTGTCGTGATTCCACGATTTTTCGCAATTCCTACGAGTCCTCTGCCTTATTGCGAGGTGGTAATGGCAGTGGGTAAGGTCAGCAGATAGGAAGGATACCCGCTTAAAAGCGACAGAAGCTGGGCGAAAGTTTGATGTAAAGCGTCTCTCAAAGTGTAATCAATTTTGAGCAGCTCAACTTTGATTGTAAGCTTTCTTTTGATCTCCTTGCTGTTCGTGTGCGAACCGAAGGGAGGCCATTCACAACCCTACTGTAGATGAAAGTTTGTGCTCAATTGGGGCGCGTAATTAGTTCAAGTTAGTGCTCAAATGCAACAAGTAATCATACGACAAAATGCGATCAGGTGGTAGTTAGGAGCCGTACGTTCGCAATCTTATTCACTTTCATAAAGAACTGATGTCATACTCTGTGCGGCGTCCTTTCAATCAACTAGTTCTTCACTTTCCACTTCACTTTCACCCGATTTTTCGTTATTCAAGCTCACAAGGAACGATCCAGTCTCTCCCACAACATCCACTATAACTCCTCATAATATTTGCAGCCGGGCGAAATGGGGCGATTGGAACCCCAGGCACAGCATTGCGTTTGAGGGATTCCTATGGCGCGAGGGGGTCGTATTTTGGGCTGGGAAAAATTTATTTTTATAGTTGATTTTTCTCTCCTTGCGGACGTTTCGGAGGGGGGGTCGTAATTTGGTCGTTGTGGGGAGGGGGGGTCGTATTTCTGGCTAGGAATTATGTGGTTCACTTGATGGATTTTTATGAATTTACTGTGTTATAGCTACTATGTACGCCCGTACGATGTACGTCGCATGCCTACTACATACCCCAGTAC